GGGGGGGGGGGGCTCAGACACCACTACACTGTTAATCTACTGCCAACTACTAATTGGGATGGCCCCAGCTTTTGTTCGCCACTTCGGCTCTGTCTGTTCTGCGTCTCGCAACCCGAAGCAAAACATCGCTTTGTGTAAGATCCTGCTACCATAAATATACCACTCTTCTCTCTGAAGACTGCAGACTATCAGACTCAGGCTCCCGGCTGCTCAGAGAAAATAAACATTTTTTATCATTTTTATCACTCACCAACAGGCTTTCACTCAGGCCTAAATGTTTATTGGGATCATAATCATTTAAAAATATTTTCTGAAGAGAGACTTTTAAGAAGGTATCCCTATGGAGTTTTTGAATACCTTTTAGCACAACTTACCAATGTTTTGACCATAGATGTTACATACTGTAATAATATATATATATATATCTATAAAAAGGGAACGTAGACAGTGTGACGTCTTCCTTTGGTGTTAGGCCTACAGCTTTGAGGCCTTTGGAGGCGCTGGGGAGGAGCAGCCACGCAGGGCCATGAAGTTAAATGGTGTAATAACTAAGCAGCTAACGCTAGCTTGCCCGAAGATGCTAAGTTTATAGCACAAAACATACTACAACAAAACAGCTGACCCAGAGTCTTAATGTACAACATATTGTCGGACAGCAACTTGTCATTCACAAGGTAGCCCCGCCTATAATACCTTGCTTCATCAACTGTTTCACTCTGAATAGGAACGTGGTTCACAGAATTAACATCATGCTGCTGAAAGACTTCAAACTAGCCCTTGAGACCATAAACTCATTAGGAACATCTTTACTGAGGTAATAAATCAAGTGATTGTTTTCAAAAACTCCACAGTGCTCCTTTAATGTTTATAAGGCAGGCAGATTTATATGGAGAGGAGATACCAATTGTAAAGAATACAAATAACAACAAGGTTTCATATGTATATGGCTAATTGTGTTTAAATGATGGTGTTCACAATGAATTTCCAAAACACATGCCACTAAACAAAGAGAAAGAAAACATACGCAAAACAATGCTTCCTGTGCATTTAAAAGTCTAAAGAACATTTTTACCAAATGCAGATGAAACCCTTTTGGGAATATTATTAGAGACTAATATACCTAAAAAGTATTTATAGTAAATGTGTTTAACGATAATTAAACCTGTGTGGTATTTAAAAATAGAAAGAAGCATTTAAGGAAACCATATGGATGGATATTATTATTAAATTATATTACTTAAAACGTAAGGTCTTCAATTAGAAATATGTTACTTGAATACATGGCAAAGAAAGATTAGCTTTAAATAAAATGTAAGAAATCTAAAACAACTTTCTTTCATGCAATTAGTCAATGTCAAATTAAATGGATTCCAAATGAACTTTTTGCTGCTCTGCCTTTTAGTGTGTGTATGTGTGTGTGTGTGTGTGTGTGTGTGTGTGTGTGTATTTCAAAGTTGCGACACACTTGTGCTACTTCAGCTCAGTTGAAGCGCTGGTTCCTGGTTTGCCCCGCCTTCCTCTCTTGGAGGTACATGTTTACGTAGGAGGTTATAAGATCATCCATCTTGTAACCCTATGAAGAGGAAGACAGAGAGGTAAAGACAAAATAATGGACACACTAGTCATTATTTAAAGTGCACATGTCTAACGATAGATCTTACCAGTGAAGTTTCACACAGGAATTTGCTCCCCTTGACTAAACTGCCAATAGTCATGTGGAAGTAGGTGCTTCCACTGCACCAGTTAGCGATGCGGTTGAATGGGTGATTAGCCAGTACATCCTTTACAAAAGATGATAATTGTTAATAATTAATAATAACAGCAAGATGTTAAAGAAAATACGATTTTTTTTCTGTTTCACCTTGGTTTTAGGATGGATGATGGTGAGTCCCTGCTTGCTGATGGCTATTCGCACAATATCTGGGAAGCTTGGTTCAGATGTTTGCTGAAAATAAAGTTCAAAAAGCAAATGAGATGGTGACAGAGGGAGGGAAGGACTGAGAGCGAGAGCACCAGATAAACAAACCACCCACTCAACCAAAAGAACTACAGATAGCTAAATAAAAGCTCCATGTGCTGCCTTCACTGCCTTACCTTCACATCAAAGAACGCACAGCCGAAAGTGGGCCAGCGGCAGACCGCCTTCAGGAACGCCACCTTCGCTTCTTCAGCAGTCAAACCCACTTGTTTGTTAAAAGATGCGACAATACTCTGGAAAAAAAATAAAAATACTTATATCGCAGTGTGAAAAAACTCTCATTTAGTAGAAGTAGTTGAACTACTTTGAATGAGGTTAATGATTTTCCAACGCCCCCGCAGCCCTCAGGCAATATTCTCACAGCGGGGGGGGGGGGGTCACAGGCATGGCATAATGGTGTTATTGTTCAGATGATAAATGTTAAGAACAGGTTTGGTGATGCTCTCTATATAACTGTCTGAGTATCCCAAGCCTGTATATATCATATTTTTCTGTGCCATAGAGCTCCATTGTTTTCCAAAAACTACAGACAAGGACAAAACTGTCCTCAATGAAATCCATTAAAACCGAATATTTGGATCCCACGGCCATTACAGCACGAAATAATACATTCTATTCCTTTTTTTTTTTACTATGCATTTTCAAACGTTGGCTTTTCTCCTGGTTTTATGCACATAAAAAATAACATGCCTCAAGATTAATTTTGTTAAAAAAAAAAACTGGAGATGTAAGTAAACCTTAACAGTATTATGTTGATTTTGGTTATTAGAAAACAACATTGGCATTATGCAAACAAACTGGCATTTAAACTGGGTCCAAAAACTTGACAATTTTTAATTTAAGATGGTTAAAGATTTTCCCTAATAAAGTGTAAATCTTACTGTATAATATATAATGATATGGCACTATTTGTACGTATATGTTTGCCCTCTAAGGACATGTGCATGTTAGCATTGGCAATGAGTTCGCTGTCTTTCACTCAGATTATGAACTAAAGACACAATAAGCCACTAGCCTGGTCGTGTGGATTTGTAGTGGTTGGTTTTGGTCAGTCAATGTAAACAACAATATAGAAGATAGTCCTTTAAACTGTACAGCAGAGGCTCCTCGTACCTTCTTCCACTCATTTTCGGACATGGCCTTCAGCTGGTCTGCAGGGACCAGCTCCTTCAGGACCTTTGGGATGGAGACAAACTGGCTCTTGTCGTTGCTGAACTTTATCCTGAAGAGCAGAGCGGCAACGTTGATGATTTCCTCTTTGGTGCTAACATGGTAACCTCTCAGGTACTTTGGTAGCTCCTGGAGGATAAAAAGTCGGTTTTAAAATATTTCACCACAGATCTGGTCACAACAACCACAGACTGTTCACAACATTGTACAATTGACAACCTTTGAATCTGTAACGTTTATAGAGGTCATAATGAAACCAGGGTGGTCTGGTACTAATATTGATACTATCTAATTTATCGGTCAGATAGAATTGTCTACATGGAAGTACAGCTGAACGATATTAACAAATAGGGGACATATTTTTCTTATTCTGCTATATATTTCAAAAGGAAAAACTTAGAAATTTTCACCAGAAATCAATAAAGTGCCCGCTCACATAATTTTTCAATTTCAATACCACTGACTCAGCATTTATTTTTGCAACCAGAATTTTCTTTTCTGTTTTTCCTCTTTAATATTTGTTGGTTCTGGTCATGGATTAGCGTTGCCTGCTTTGGTTCTTTGATACACTGATCGATGACTGTGATTGTTTGTATCCAAGGAGCTTTAAATAAAATACATGTATCTTGTAAAACGCCTTTAGATAATGTGCCTTGCTTGACATTGTATGTCTGGCGTATTTAATTAAAACAATTATAGGTGTTTTTGCTGTATTACTGTATTCCATTCACAATCTTCAAAATAAAGATCCTACTTATATATCGTACGGTCCAACTGGAAATATTTTGCTTTCATATTAGGTGGAAAAACTAATCCCGGAAAATGTGATGGTGGCAGGCTGAGCCGCATCATTCAAATGTACCTGAGGGAAATGGAAGATAACATCAGCCTCTGTGTCTCTGCCAGGGATCACATTAAACCACAACTTCCTCATGAAGAACACAAGGTAGGGTATGTTGACAGGTCCACCTGCAGGACACACACAGGCACACACACAAAGAGGTTTTCACAGGGAAATACAAAAAACCATCACAAGTCTAAAGGCACTCCAATCTGAACATGTGTATACCCTCTTTGATCGTCTTGGCTTTCTTGGACCAGTCAGTGATTTGTCTCAGACTGTCAAAGAAGTAGTCTGTGTCATTCAAACTGAGAACCTGAAATGAACACAATTTCAGACTTTGTTAAGTAAAACAGGTCATGAAAGAAGGCACAGAATTTTGTAAAAGAGACAAAATATCATGATCAGGGCTGAGAAATGACAAATGAACCTTGTCATGTGTTTTGACAAAGATGCTGAAGCCGTCCGCAGAAGCCAGACTGAGCTTCTTGGTAATGTTCTGGATCAGATCCCTGATCCTGGTGTTGGTGGCTACCTCAAATATCTGGAGAGAGATGACAGGAGTCAAGATGTTACTGATGGAATATTTGACCAGGATTTTTCCTTTTAACTTTGCACGAGAGGTGTGTTACCTCCTCTGTGTCGTTGGGGAAGTGGATTTTGTGGAAGATCTGAGTGCTGTTTTGTTGGACGGCGTCTACCTCCACCTGGTGTGGTGGGAGCTTCCTCGGCTCCATCCTGCACAAGGACAACAGACACACACTGTTTATTTACTTGTTTACTATTGAATTAACTTTATCATTGTGTAGCCACAGAGCACACACTTGATCATTAAAATGTGCTGCTCTTTGGTATTTCTCTTAGAGCCTGTTGAGATGATGAACATTATAAAGAATTTGAATCAAATGTATTATAGAGGAGGCCATGCAACACACAGTGGCATTTAACATTGAATGTGAACATCAATGCATGAAAATTCTGACTTAAACCGCAGAACATGCATTCAAACAAAACAAGACAAAAGTGGTCTGTATATATTCACATAAATTAAGTCCTAGTACCTCTACATGGAAGCCCTGAGAGGCAGGTGAGTCTGATCTAAATGGTTTTCGCTTCTTTGGCTATAACTTAAAGGTCTCCTATCATGCTATTTTTAGGCATATTTTATGGGTATCAGATATATAAAAATATATTAAAAACATATTTGTGATGTGTTTTGACAGATCATGCATTTTAGACATCCCTCATATCCCTCTATCTCAGCCCTGTTAGAGAATGGCTGATTCTCTGCAGGCCCCGCCCCCTTTTGAGCAGCAAGCACACTGTGAGTTCTGTGATGAGCTGCCTGCTCTGCTCAGATGCAGCTAAACGCTGCCGTGATTATACGCCACATCATGTTCCAAACCACTTCAAGGATTATTTTTGAAACAGTATGGAGCTCAAATGCTTATTTTCTTGCGGGTTTACCAGAAGGAGAGTAGCTTTTTATTTCCTGCTTTTTTACACAAACTCTCTCCAGTACAGGTTAGCTCTGCGTGTTAGCGATGTTTGCTAATGTAAACAAAGACCATATTACGTCCAAAACAGTCGAGCATTGTTTCTGATAGCGACGTTTCTGATAGGGCCGTGGGCGTAAAGCCAGCCCGCGGGGACGACACAGTCCTTAGAGTGTTTCACAGTCTTTTATTTTGCGGAGAGAGAAAAGGAAGGCATGGGTGGTATGAAATTTTTCGCCCCCATGTTGCCTCGGTCTAGGTCTAAACGAAAGGCTATACTGCATTATAGG